TATTGTTCCTTCCTTGCTCTGAAGGAGTCATGGTGCGGTAGGTTCGCGTCGTGCCGGCCGGCGGCGAGCCCGCCGCCGACGTTCAACGTCGGATGCCGCCAGCGGCCCTGAAGCGGTCGATCTTGAACGATCTGACGTTTCGGAAACGGCCGATCTCAGCCAACGTTGAACGATCCCCGGCGTCGGAGACCAATGCCAGGGTCCACACGACGCGAACCTGCCGCAGCGAACGACGGGCGGCTCCCGTCGCGCTCCCCTGGCAGCCTGCCAGAGGAGCCAGGAGTAACAGGAATGAGGTGTTCCCAGAGGTCCAGGAGTTCCCAGATTCCCCGCCCTTCATCAGCGTGCCTTGGATCTTCCATGCGCGCTCGCTCGGTGACTTTCAGCGGGCGTGCAGAAACGGCTGCATTCAGGATGCTTTTCATTTCCCCCCCAACACACTTGCATTTCTAGCGCGGATTTTCAGGTTTGAGTTTCTTACCAGGGTGTCTTGCGGCCGCGTCCGCACAACATGTATGTGTTACCATTGACGCTGCATGTTGGAAATGTCAGTAGACTCAGTGCATTGCGTTTGGCATTTTTTGGGTTGTCCTGTGCTTTGCCTTGCAGATGTCGTTGCGCATGCCAACCTTCAGCATGCCCGTTCAGACCGTCATCATCACAGGCGTAATCGAATTGGCTCCTGGCGCGCCAGCACATCAAATCCGAAATTGTTGAATTCAGCCCTCAGCATCATGTTCACGGTCGTTGCCCCCTCACGGGCTTGACATTTTGGCATAGTTACGTATCGGCCCATGTTTGGGCGCGGTTCAGGTGTGTGCGTGGGCTGCAGTGGCGCTCGCCATGGGGCTGTTCCTGGTGACGGGGGCGCTGGTGGCCCACCTTGCTGGCGCTCCGAGGCTTGCGCTGCCGCAAGCCCTGTCTTCTAGAAAGCGCAGTCTCGTGATGAGAAGGGAAGGACCTTTGTGGCCCCCGGAAACGGCAGGGCCGTTTTTTTCACCGTTTCCAAAAAAGTGCCCCTTACAAATGGAAACTGCAAAAAACGGCGACCGGAAAAGGCAAAAAATAACCAGCTCCTGGATTGGAGCCAGAGCCGGAACCGGTCAAAAAACGGCGACGGAACCGGTTAAAAAAAAACGGCGTCGGAACCGGCAACAAAACGGCAAAACGGGACCGGTAAAGAAACGGCCCTGTCGTTTCCAGGGCCCGCTAAGGGAAGGCCTGGTTGCACGGACTTGTCGGAGAGCCGGACCCGCCCGTCAGCATTGCTCGTACTTCCCACGGTCCCATGCGAGGTCCGATCGTAAGAGTGAGACCCCACCGAGAGATCTGGACGAAACATCGATCCCGAAGCGAGACGCAGACGATCGCATTAGCGAAGGCTCTAGTTCAGGGCCACCCTGACGTCGTGCGGTGCCGAAGCAGGAGATGGCGACGAGAGGGGCGAAAAGCCCAGGGGCCGGCACTACGTACACGCATTCGCCCGGGAGCTTCGCCGGAGGCATGGACCGTCGGCGCCCCTGGATAGCGTGTCTTGCTCTCCCCTGGGCTATTCGCCCCAATCGTCGCCTCACAAAACGAAGAATGCGTCACGTTTCGACTCACAGCTGCAGCGCACGTGGGTGCGCAACCTGTCCTGGTCGAACAGAGTTTCCGAACCCACAGGGGCCCTGGCACGCACTCGGCCACAGAGGGCTCGACCCCTTCCCCGGGGGAGTAGCTCTCCGCACCAGGCCCATCTTGGATGGCCCCAGGGCCATAGGGGGAAATGCATCGACCCCCAATCGCCCATTGATCGCCGATAGGGGTATGGTGGCCCACCCCACCCAGGAACGCTGGGATTCGCTATCAGGGGCCTATCGCTGATCTAGCGGCGACGTATCGACGATCCCAGGTCGATGTTTCCCCCGTTGGCCAGTCCCCCCCTATCGTGCCCCTCACCTGAGCCCGCAGAGGCCGAAAGATTCGAGGAAGCAAAACATCCAAAGCTGGGACGCGGCAAAAACCACGGTCTGGGAGCTCTGGGATTAAGTGGGCTTGTCCCCCTACAGGAGCCAAAAAAATCGTCAGGGGACGATTCTCCGATTATTTTTTGTAAAGCAAGGTTTGCTTATGGTTGAGTTTGTTCGATTTGTCGCCCAAAATCTGATTGTAGGAGGACGTGCCCAGTACAGTGCCGTTTTTTTATACATGCTCCGCGTGCGGATCATGTATTGAAAAGGCAGGGATTTATCATCAAAACCAGCGATGAGTTCATGCATAAATTCATTCATAAATTAACCCTGGATTAAAATCATATGTTTTTTTAAGATCCCATGTATTAAACACTGCCCGGTATATTTCTGGGACCGGTATCCAACGAGCGCGAGGCGCCTGCGGGCCGCGCGCGGACCTCCCCGCAGAGGCCGCCGCCGCCGCCCGCCCCTGGGGCAGCTGCCGCGCTGGCGTGGGCGGCCCGCGAGGAGCGCCTGCGCGGCCTGCTACTCCTCCCCCTCCCCCTCCTCCTCCTCCTCCTCCTCCTCCTTTTCCTCCTCCTCCTTCTCCTCCTCCTCCTCGTCCTCCTCCTCCTCCTCTTCCTCCTCCTCCTCCTCCTCGTACTCCTCCCCTCCTCCTCCTCCTCCTCCTCCTCCTTCTCCTCCCCCTCCTCCTCCTCCCTCCTCCTCCTCCTCCTCCTCCTCCTCCTCCTCCTCCTCCTCCCTCCTCCTCCTCCTCCTCCTCCTCCTCCTCCTCCTCCTCCTCCTCCTCCTCCTCCTCCTCCTCCTCCTCACCTCCTCCTCTCCCTCCTTTTCCTCCTCTCCCCCTCCTCCTCCTCTCCTCCTCCTCCTCCTCCTCCTCCTCTTCCTCCTCCTCCTCCTCCTCCTCCTTCTCCTCCCTCCTCCTCGTACTCCTCCTCCTCCTCCTCTTCCTCCTCCTCTCCCTCCTCCTCCTCCTCCTCCTCCTCCTCCTCCTCCTCCTCCTCCTCCCTCCTCCTCCTCCTCCTCCTCCTCCTCCTCCTCCTCCTCCTCCTCCTCCTCCTCCTCCTCCCTCCTCCTCCTCCTCCTCCTCCTCCTCCTCCCCTCTCCTCCTCCTCCTCCTCCTCCTCCTCCTCCTCCTCCTCCCTCCCTCCCCTCCTCCTCCTCCTCCTCCTCCTCCTCCTCCTCCTCCTCTCCTCCCCAGCCGTTCCGTGCACGAACGGCCCGTCCCTGCGTGGACCGCCTGGGCGTTCCCGTCGCAAACTTCGGAGCGGCGATGCTTCGGGGAGCCGTAAAGAAGCATGGTGCCATCAATAAACGCCGTCGCCCGCAGTGGCGGCGCCGCGAATAGGCGCATGCGGGGCCGCCAAGATGCCTCCCCTTCCTTTCGCCCTCTCCCCGTCCGTTTCCCCCTTCCCATCCTCCTCCTCTTGGCAAGCAGGGGTGATGCCTTACAGCGCACAGCCCAAGAATCGCAGGGGCCCGACGCCTTCCTCAGCCACAACGCTGGAATCAGCATGTGCGAGAAGCGCGAGAAGTGGCAGCGGACTCTGGCCCGACTCCGCGAGCGGGAGAGAGTAGGGATACAGCCCGCCGTCCTCAGCTACAGCGCCGAAAGAAGCGCGTGTGAGAAGGGGGGGCAGTGGCAGCAGGCTCTGGCTGGGCTCCGTGAGGCGGAGGTGAAGCTGGTGCCCGACGTCGTTCACTACAGCGCTACAGTCGGCGCGTGCGAGAACGGCGGGAAGTGGCAGCAGGCTCTGGCTGTGCTCCGCGAGACGGAGGTGAGACTGGAACCAGACGTCCTTAACTACAGCGGTGGTATCGACGCGTGCGAGAAGGACCAGCAGTGGCATCAGGCTCGGGCTGTGCTCCGAGAGACGGAGGTGAGACCGGAACCAAGGCATCCGCAGGAGAGGGTCATCAGCTACAGTGTTGGTATCAGCTCATGCGAGAAGGGGCGCAGTGCTCTCACCCGGCATTGCGAGAAGGGCGAACGTGGGAGCGGGGTCATCAGCTACAATGTTGGTATCAGCTCCTGCGAGAAGGGGCGCAGTGCTCTCACCCGGCATTGCGAGAAGGGCGAACGTGGGAGCGGAGTCATCAGCTACAATATTGGTATCAGCTCTTGCGACAAGGCGCGCAGTGCTCTCACCCGGCATTGCGAGAAGGGCGAACGTGGGAGCGGGGTGCCCAGCTACAATGTTGGTATCAGCTCTTGCGAGAAGAAGCGCAGTGCTCTCATCCAGCATGGCGCGACGGGCGAACGCGGGAGCGGGAAGCCAGCTACAAAGCAGGTGTGGGCTCTTGCGAGAAGGCGACCAGTGGCAGCTTCTGGCACTGTGGCACGGCGAACGCAGGGGAGGGTCATCAGCTACAACGTCGGTATCTTTCCTTGCGAGAAAGCGTGCGGGCATCAGCTCGCGTGCGGAAGGGCTGGGAGTCAGTGGAAGCACCTTGCGAGAAGCGGGGGGCGAAGCTGGAGCCCAATATTGTCGGGCACTCTGTGGCAAGCCTCTTGCGAGAAGCGGGGGGCGAAGCTGGAGCCCACTAGTGTCGAGTGCTCAGGGCCAACCTCTTGCGAGAAGTGGGGGGCGAAGTTAGAGCCCAGTATCGGCGGGAGCTCTGTGAGAAGCCTCTTGCGGGAAGCGGGGGGTGAAGCTGGAGCCCAAATTAGTCGAGAGCTGTGGGCAAGTTTCGTACGAGAAGTGGGGGGCGTAGCTGGAGCCCAATATCTTAGCTACAATGCTGGCATCAACTCGTGCGAGAAGGGGAAGACAGGCAGTGGCAGCAAGGACTGTCAGGCGTGTCAGCCGTGTTCTAGGCCAAGCTGTTCTGACGGTCAGTGTAAGTGTACGGTATTGTGAAGGAGGTATCCACCATCCCGAACGAGAACGGCCAAGGGTAGACTGAATCGTTATGGGAGCGCGGCCATTCACCAGGAACGCCTATGTAAGTTCGGCTTGCAAGGCGTGAGGCGGCTTGCGTGGCGCTTTTCATCTGCGCAAGTCCTAAGTAGCACAATCCTTGCACAATCCTCCTCCTCCCCCTCCTCCTCCTCCTCCTCCCCCTCCTCCTCCTCCTCATCATCATCA